AACCCCTTTCTGACGTCAAAGATGTCACAGATTCAAGAAAGCAGTTCTGACTTTTGCAATGCGTCAACTGACTTCAGTCGTTATGCGCCCATTGTTGCTGATGCAGCTACCAAGTGTATTGATCAACTACCTCGAGTTTCTCGCCATCATGAGTCAAGTTGTCATCAAGTTGCTGGAGGTCCCGCAGCAGCACTTTGCACTTTGGAGGTGCGAAGCGCATGCCAATTGATGACACCACTCTAGGGAGCTTATTCATGGTTGATTGGGCCGCCCCAACATCGTTAAACAGCATGGTAATATCGTCTACATAATCAAGATCAACTAGCCTATCACCAGGCAGCACCTCAGCGCCTGCGTCACGAGATTCCGCAGGAGAACACTCCAAGATGTAGTCTATGACGAAGTTCAACAAAAATTGGGAAATTCGATATCTCTGACGAACGCTACTTGTTGTCGGAAAGAATTCCGATAAGTCACTGTAGGTTCTGACACGGCCTGTCGTGTTCGAGTAGAGCACGCAAGATGTTTGACATTCAACGTCCGCACTCTAAGACAAACAGGCCAGCAGGCTGCACTCGCACGCACCTTGGACACACTGGGTGTTGGTGTGTGTTGTGTGTCCGAAACTAGGATTAATGACCCTAACGGGGTTATTGAATTGACTGCACCCGGCTTATCCTCTCGTTATTGGTTGCACGCATCCGGAGACGCCGATGCGGCACTCACGGGTCAAGCTGGTGTAGGTATCATTCTAAGCTTCAAGGCTGAGCCATCGTTGGTTGATTGGATTCCGGTGAACAGCCGTTTATGTGCAGCCCGTTTGACGACATCAGCTAAGGTGAATTCGCGAAATAAAACAAAACGCTGTTTGTTTGTGATTTCTGCTTATGCTCCCACGGACTGCAGTTCTAATGCAGTCAAGGACACTTTCTATCACGAACTGAATGCCCTACTATGCAGTGCTACTAGTTCAGATATTATAGTACTTGCAGGGGATATGAACGCACAAGTAGGGCGTCTGAGCTCTTCAGAAGCTCAGCTGGGTGGTAAGTATGGACTTAACTCCGAACGGACTGACAACGGCGAGCGTCTGCTGCAACTGTGTGCGGAGCACCAGTTGTTTCTTACTAGCACTGCTTTTAGACACAGTGGGCGCCGAAGTGCCACTTGGCGTCCACCTGTAGCTGGCCAGCGATGGACCCAAAATGACCACATAGCCATAAGTTACAGGTGGCGCGGTTCCATTCTGGATTGCCGCTCGTACTGGAGTACCTGTGTCGACTCTGATCATGCCTTGGTACGCTGTCGTTTCTCCATGAAGGCGCACAAAACGTCTCCTCCGATTGGCAACTGAGAAACTGTCAGCCCTCGGTCAGGCAAGCCTATCAAGACGCACTGCATACCGAACTTTCGCTGTCTTGTCCTAATGACACTGAACTTCAGTGGAATAGGATCTCGGCCGCCATGCACGACGCAGGAGCATCTGTTAGTGGTACTATCAGTCGTCACCGCACCAGTCACTGGATATCCGAGCCGTCGGTGAACTTGTTGGAATCTAGAAGACACCTCCCGGCCGGCTCGGAACACAATGTGACCAGACGGGCTATTAGGCGGGAACTAAAGCGGAGCCTACGTGCTGACAAGGAAGCCTGGTGGACCAGTCGGGCTCAAGAAATGGAGCACGCGGGAGCAGTAGGCAACTACCGCAACCTCTTCCAGCTAATCCGCGCCACTGGTCCCAGAAAACCAGGCGTCAATGAGACAATCAGGGACAGCGCGGGTGCGCTGATACACAATAAGGAGCGCCGTGTGGCTCGTTGGGCTGAACACTTTGAACATCAGTTCAACTGGCTCCCTGCTCCCGGACCTCTCCCTACTCAGGTGATGCAGGACCAGTCATGGACGGTTAGTTTAGAGTCTACGTCGGAGGCCGAGGTCCGAAACGCGATCACAGCCCTCAATCGCTTTTGTGCCACCGGCCCTGATTCGCTCCCACCTGCGATATTCAAGGATGAAGGTGAGGTCCTCTGCAGGGCACTGATCTCCCTATTCGAACGTATCTGGAACGAAGGGTGTGCCGGCTAATTGGAGCGAATCGATTATGGTGGCAATATACAAGAAGGGCAGTCGCACAGACTGTTCTAACCACAGGGGTATTAGCCTAACGCCAGTTGTGACAAAATTATTGGCCTCGATTATCGTTCGTCGCCTCACTGCGGAACGGAAATCTCGGAGTAGGGAAGAGCAGGTCGGTTTCCGCCCAGGACGTGGCTGTATAGACCATATATTCACTTTGCGACAGGTGCTAGAGCAGCGCCACGCATACCGCAGACCGACAATTGCTGTGTTCCTCGATTTCGAAAGTGCATGCGATTCAGTCGATCGGTTGATTCTGTTCGAAATACTTGCGCGGAAAGGTGTTCCCACGAAATATGTGAACATCCTTCGTGCTCTATACTCGAACACTACAGGCCGCGTCAGGGTCTATGGTACCCTATCGGATAGCTTTCACACTACAAGTGGCGTTCGACAGGGTTATCCGATTTCCCCGTTTTTGTTCAATTTCGTCGTGGATTCCATCATGGAGTGTTCCCTTGCGGAATCTCATGATGTAGGCGTTGAAGTGCTGCCTGGTGAAAGGTTAGTTGATCTAGATTATGCGGACGATATCGTCTTGCTTTTCGACAATGTTGAGGCGGCACGATCAACCCTGGATAGCCTATCAAGAGTGGTCCCATTATTTGATATGCACTTCGCACCTTCAAAGTGCAAAGTGTTGCTGCAGGACCACCAGCCATTTGATGACCCCTTGACGCTTGCTAACGAGGAACTCGAGGTGGTTGATCAATTCACTTATCTTGGCAGCTGCATCAGCAACGATGAGCGCATAGAAACTGACGTCAGCTCACGCATTTCGAAAGTCAGAGCTGTCTTCTAGAGCCTGCGGCATCTTTGGCGACAGAAGGGAATTTCCCTCCGTCTGAAACGCTGTGTACACAAGGCCACAGTGAGGGCAATTCTGCTCTATGGGAGTGAGACTTGACCCCTTCGGTCTGAAGATCTGAGACGCGTTCAAGTCTTTGATCATCGTTGTTTACGAAGCATTGCTGGTGTCGGATGGCACCAGCGTGTCCGCAACGATGACGTGCACAGGCGAGTACTAGGTAGTGATAATCATGCTAGCCCCCTAGAACAGCAGATAGCACTGAATAAGTTGCGTTGGCTCGGGCACGTGCTACGCATGCCTGGTCACCGCTTACCTAGGAGGGCCTTGTTCAGTCTACCAGGTGTAGGATGGCGCAAGGCTCGAGGTGGACAGAAGTTGACTTGGCAGCCGGAAATGAAGTCACTGACGACCAAACTGGGTGCCGTTGGTCCGTCTCGCCTTCCGGGTTTGAGTCCACGTGACTCACCTTGTGCTTGGCTCGAGACTTTACAGGACATGGCTCGCAACCGACACCAGTGGCGCGTCTGCTGCCGTCTTCTAATCGGATTGCCTGTGTAAAGTGTGTTTGGTTCTGAGTTATCTGCGGGGTAATGGCTGATTAGGACGCGTGGCAGTGAAAGCCGCAAGGAAGCTGTCTCGCCGATGCCGCCTTATCTTTGCACGATAGCCAACTGTTTGTGACGGTATGTTGTCAACACAAGGTGTAGGCGCCTTGACCCTGAATGTTTGCTTAGGGCATTAAGGTTTTCAGGTAAGTCCCCCTTCTCTTCCTCTTATAATTCTTTATTTCATAGGTCCTCATGGTTGTATGACAGCGAAGCATCAGTTCAAATGGCTGATGTACTGCTGTTGATGATGATGCAAGATGTTCATATCTTTCATGGGAACATCTCTCCGCGCAAGTATCTCGAACCGAATACATCGATCAACTGAATCGAATGCACTTGAAGTCGAGGAACACAGCTATTGTCGGTCTGCGGTATACTTGGCGCTGCTCTAGAACCTGCTGCAAAGGGAATATATGGTCTATACAGCCATGTTCTGGGCTCTTCCCTAATCTGGGGTTCCCGTTGCTTAATGAGGCGATGAACGAGAATCGGGGCCAGTGGCGTGTATTCCCCGATCAATTTTTATTGTGCTCAAATAAATCGCATCTTCATCAGTTTACTTATGTTTTGGACTGCCTCTGGGAGCATCGAGCTTCGGTGACATGGATTTATGCGGCTGTACATGTCGCAAGAGCTGTGCGTGTGCCACTCTCAGATGTCACCGCACTGAACATCATTCTCCGCTGCGTTGATATCGAACCCTAACGTGGTGCGACGGTTTGACTACCTCTTCAACCTATACCGACACCTAGGATTATCAAATATGTTAGCCGAGCTTTGAACTCATTGAATTGAACCGGCTTCTCTTTGAGTGAGTTCTATTGCATCACAGGAAGTCGCTATAGTTCGGTTGCTGCGGTGTTCGCCGAGCTGGGTAATTGGCTTGCAAACGTTTCGTCACCAGTCGCGGTGACATTATCAGTTCATGTGACTGAGCGTTTTTGTAGCAGAAGCCATTGGAAGTCACTATAGTGTTTATGGTTGGAAAACTTAGCAAGGGCTTTGTATAAGGAACCGGTTATTTTTTCAATGCAAGCAGTACGTAAATCTTCGCTCTTATGGTAGCTTATTTCCGAAAAGGTAATGGGGAGCAACTGTACTTTCTTCGGTGACACCAAACGATGCATGCTGGACAATGAAGGGCAAATCTGCTTAATCGGCCAGATTGTAACTTTCCCGTTTCAGCCGTACCTATTTACTATCTTTCATAAGAACTCTTGTTTTGGCCGCAAAATTTGTTCTTGTTTGTGATAAGCTTTGGACGTGAGTCATTTGTATTACACCTCAGTATTTGTACTTTTGTGACGCGACTGCGACTAATGTTGTCTGAACTGGATTTACACAATACAGTGATGTACTCTCTGAAGCTTGTTTCAATTTACATTTCTGCGCCCATTTTTCGCCACCGTTTTCAAGGATTCATGCTCATTTTTTCCACATTTTCAGCACACTGTCGTTTGACTGCTACCGAACTGTTAAACAACCACTATGTCAGAGTTCGCCATACGCGCGCAAACATATGTTGTGTGTGCTGTGATGATTGGTTGTTTTGCTATACTTTATCCAAAAGTGTTTCATCCCATGATTTTGCGTTCCCTCGGAATTGCAAGACAACCTAAGCCGGTTGAACATGGTAAGTAGTGGCTTCCCTCTGCGCGGAAGACTGCTTTCTTTCCCTCGTTGTAGACCATGTTCCAAAACCGCACATGCGTCAGGTACGTTCCCTTTTCGTTTCGTATTGTATGTTAAACATTTCCGTGACAGGCATCTATTTATCGTGAAAAGCCATTTCCTCCTAAAACTTCAGACACAGTTACTTCGCCGAAACGTGGTGGCATTTTAACTGTGGTCCTTCCTTTATATGGCGTGGGCATTGCGATTTATCTTATATACACCCTATCCAGAGTACGTTTCTTTGACATTACTCCTCTTATGTGAAAAAAGTTGTTCCGCACTAAGCCAACTTTTCGTTTGATTCTCTGCCTCGACATTTCGCAGGTATACAAATCGCGTCAACGGCACAAAGCAGATCGAAAGGATGAGTTTTTGCGTCACTACTACCGCGGTTTCCATTACGACGTCAACCGGGGTAAATTTCGGATGGGCCACGGGTCTTCTGACGAGGACTCTTGCTTGCCTGAAGATGAAGGTGATTGGGGGCTGCTTTCACAATCTTTTGAACGAACCGGAAAACATGGACATTGTGAGCAACATTGCACGCATTGTGTGCCGATCCTTCACCAGATTAAAGTGCACTTATGGAAATAACCACTCAACTTCGTTTCGAACTGCTCTTTCTCGTATGAACTCAATTCTTTCGACTGCTGTGGTGCTGCATGGCTCACTGTCTTGCTGATCTTCTTACTTACTTAGATCCAATGGCAATTCATTGATGCGCTCCACCATCTTAGAAACTAGTCACCCAACAACTATTACTGTAGGGTGTAACCTCTTTATCCACATAGAATGCACCGACTGAATGACCTGTCATGGGTTCGACCCTGAGTAAACAGTTGGTGTTGACAAATGCTTCCAACAATCTCATCCTGCTACTTTCACCCAGTTGTATGTACCTGAAAGTTTCATTCATTTGCAGTCCTATGGGTTCATTGGCCTAGATCCTATACCCTAACAATAATGGACGATAGCCTGGTGCTTGGATCTGTTTACCCCTCCGACTGACTAGGCCTTACTCTTTGAGGCTTTTGGGTATTTTGAGAGCTACTATTGCTAGACTCGTTAGTGGTTATAGTTTATACAAAAGCAATTCCGTCGTCATTCAGTTTAATGATTAAAATTAGAGCGGCACCAGCGTCCGCCGTAATTGATCGTCTCTTGAGCCGCAGTTGGGATTTTGCCCCGAAGGACTCGACCGAGAACCCAAATCGTCTTCTCTCGCTTTAGGGTGCCACAACGGCGACATACTCCACATGCAGATTTTATGACTGTATGCTAGTGAAAAGTCGGCGCGTTGTTACTGTTGGTGTATTTAGAATCCAGTCTTTTTACGTATCGTATTACGATCTTTCGGCTTGTGTTGCTTCCCCTCTGAATCTTCTGAACAAAATCCGGCCCAGAGACAGAATGATTCATGCTCTTGGGTTTTAACCCATGAGTCACCAATTCGGACCTGTGTAAGCTTGGACAGTGTCGCAATATGCCAGTCCTCAAGGACGCACTGGCAGTTGTGTGGCAGAAAGGCTTACATTCGTGGTTCCGGCGCACTGATAGCACTTTTTCTGACCAACTCGGGTCTCACAAAATAAGTTAAATGAAACTCACCCCATCGCCTCTTTAGTGCTTCCTCAAGATGATCCGTTTTTACCGCTCGCTGCGTAATGGGGGACATGAGCCAGTATTCCTCCACCGGTTCTCAATCTCAACCGTAGTGACTGTCAGTTTTTCTGCGTTAGGACTCCTGTTTAAGTCTCTGTTTTCTCTTCAGCTGAACAGAACGAGGCTTTCGATTGGACGTCAATCGATGGCACTGATTGTCCGAACATTTATCGCTCTGCGAAGACTTTACCTCGTGACTTGGAAGCATTGCTGAAGGAGTTGGAAAGTCCGGATAAAGGTGAGGGGGCGTCGACCCGATCATTTTTCTCCATACCCATTCTTCCGTGGATGGGAACAGTACACATTCCTCCATCAAAGTGATTGCTTCAAGCATTCCACATAATTTTCCCACCCGGCCATACGTGCGAACATTTATTTGTTGAGCTATATGCACCATTTCCTGTTTACTATCGACATCCCCTGTCTGCTCAGCAGGAGTGTTCAACATTTCTGCCTAATTAGAATGCCTTTGTGATCTCTATACCTCACTCAGTCGCTGTTATCCGCATCAAGCGGACTGTTTTTTATGTACACTAGTGGTTGCCTGATTCGGTCTAGGTGGGATAAATTCCAATGATTTAATAAAATGTAGGCCTTCTGGTAGCACACCCTCCCATTGTTCAATTACCAGACTTTGTGACCGTAAACAGAGTGAGATGGCCTTCCATACTATAGCATTAAGTCCCTCCACTTGCCCTTTGAATTTCGGATTGTAGCTAGTGGTTCTGCAGGTTGCTACACCACGCTCATACAGAAATGTTTTCAGCACTTCTGACATGAACGAGGAACCCCTGTCAGAATGTACATACGATGGCATTCCAAAGATGGAAAGCAATTTAGTGAGTTTGTATATGATAGTGGAGGCTGTGATGTCAAGACAGGCGTATGCCAACGGGAATCTGGAATACCTGTCGATAACTGGTCTCTTGAAGTTCATGCGTAGTCGTTCGAAAGGCTGAATTGCTTTGATTAGCGGATTGTTGACTGATGTGCATCGCTTCGGCTTCAGCTGAAAGCATATAAAGCACTGCTGGATTATTGATTTTACATTTGCTATGTAAAAGGCAAGTTCTTCGCTCGCATGTAGTGGAAAAGTCTACTAACGCCAGGATGGCATAGTGTTTCGTGGATGCGCTCCAGTGCATTGGGTGTATGGATGGTTGCACAATCTGCCCCCGATAATGTGTCTGCTGCGGAATTCTGAGTACCAGACCGATATACCACATCGCAAGAGAACTGTGAGAGCTCGATACGACATTTGGATTTTGTCGTTTTTAATCATTCCTTCTAGCTTCGTATTCTACATGCAAGCATGCAACTGCGCGCTGATCAGTTCTCGGTTTAAAATGTATTCCGAGTAGATAGTGCCGCCATCTCTTTATAGTTTTCACAATAGCATATGCCTCTTTCTCCACGGCTGAGTGGTTTCGCCCACTACCGGCCAGTGTTCGTAAAAAAGTTCAACCGCTCGACCGTTCTGATTGAGTGTTGCAGAAAGCGATATCAGATACATCAGTCTCGATTACTACTGGCACGTTTTTATGAACAGCGATCACGGCTGCTTCGACTAGTTTTACCTTTAATGCTTTATACGCGTCTAAAACACTACTTGGCCGTGGAAAAATCTTATTATGAACGAGCACATGGATCTTGTCCGAAAAGTGTGCGAGCAACTTGGAGTAGTATGCAAACATCCCGACCGCTCTTTGTTGTGCCTTAAGATCTATTGGCGGACGTAGCGTTATTAATGGCTTGAAGTGATCAGGGTCCGGTTTCATTGTACCCAACGCAATTTCGTAACCAAGCAAGCGAATTTCCTTGGCCTCAAATATGCCTTTTTTACGATTTAGGGTCATTTCATACTTTTCGACGACCCGCAAGAAGCTTTGAAAGTTTTTGTCATGTTCTGCAGAGTCTGCCACACACAGTAATATTGACCTAGACGAATGTTCCTTAGAGATTTTTGTGGCGAATCAGTTCATCCATAGCTCTTTGGACGCATGCAACACCGTTGATTACTCTAAGTTATTGCATGCCTCAAATGTGGTATATTTATTCTCGTCTTTCCTTCTAGAGATTTAATGATAAGCACTCTCTAGATCAAGAGTGTTGAAAACCCCAAAATGAGATATCTTTTCGATCATGTCATCTGTACGCGGTAAAGGATGAGCATCCAGTTCCGCAAAGCGGTTTATGGTTTGGCTATAGTCGATAACCATTTGTTCCTTTTGGCGTTCGTTTGTGGTGACAAGAACTTGTGCACGCCAAGATGATTTCGAAGACTCGATTATACCTTCTTTTAGTAGCCTATCCATCTGTTCGTCTGCAGGATTATGCTTCCGTGACTTGGTGCGTAATGGAGGGAGATAGATGGGCGAACAGAGCAGTGGGAGGTAGTTGAGCAGCTGAAAAGCTATATAAAGAGAACGGAGGGCGATTACCATGTAAAGGTATCTACGCTTCTGTGCAACTGTAGGAAATCATGTCCTAATAAAATATCAGTGCACAGATCCGGAAGTATTGAACACTTCACATGGAGGTAGAACACTCCTGTGTACGAGTGTAGCAAAACATTGTCGTTTGGTATGATTAATAAGTTATGTTGAACCCAGAACAATTTCACCGTGGGATTTCAACTTTGCCCAACGAGGTTTTTGTACAACGGTTTCACAGACAAAACTCTCAGAGCTTCCTGTGTCGATTAGCGCCTTCAGCATAATTCCGTTGACAGTGACATCTCTGATAACCTTCGCAAGACATGCGGGAGCGGCTGCGGTGATAACAGAAGAATGGGAAGAAGCAATATGTTTTATGGGTGTATAAGAACGAAAAACGTTCTGAAAATGTCCTCTCCACACGAATTGCGGTTTGAGTCTCTAGTGGGACACTTTTGTCGAGGATGGCGCTCGTAGCCATAAAAATGGCATTTATCCGACAACTTTGTTTGAGTGGTAGCCAGTGTGGCGTCCAATGGTGAACTGGTGCATAGATTTTTGTGAGCAGAGGATTCATCAGCTATGGTGTTGCAAGGCACGATTGGAACCGATGACGCAAAGAAATGGGACTGTTTCTGAGCTAAATCTAGGGACTAAGCTTGAAGGTTCTATACTCCAACAGTCTGTCTTATGGAATTGGATAATAGACCACTAATGAATCCATCACGGATGACATCATCTTGGTTTTGCTCAGCACTCACTTATTTATACTTGCCATCTGTGGCGAGTGCTCGAGATCTCTGTATAAGCTGATCGAGATTTTGGTAGTCTCTTGCTTGCAGGTCGCTAATAGATGACGAGAGTGCTGATGGCTGATTCGTATGAAAGACATCGTGAAATAATTTTATACACAGCTGGTGAGAGGAAATTACTGTCTTTTGCTTGTCAGGTTTGTGTGAATGCATCATAATCATGAAGTTGGTAAATGTAAAAAACCAGTGTTCTCATGATTCCGCTGCATCGGAAGCCTTTGGGCCCCTTGTCAAGGCGTTCGGGTCGCAGAGGCTGATCCATTTCTAGATGAATACATTGTTTATGAGATTGAGTAGGATCCACCAGATAGATTGAACCTATGTCGATTGAGAACACGTAGACCTGAGAGTTAGGCTTTAATCCCCTAGAAACCTCGGTATGCAAGCTACAATAGGACAAATGATAGGTTATAACCCCAAATGGAATAACGACAGTTTACAGTAGCATAAAAGTAGTAACAATGTAAGAATATAAATTCACATCACCTTACTCCAATCGTATTTGATCTTTGGTCCCCTCCTTGGCATTCATTACTTAATACCAGTATACTTCAATTCATTGCATTTTGGTTTGGGGTGATGCGAGCAACTTCTCCCATAGGATAAATACGAGGCTGTCAGAATCTATTCTTGTGTGTATCTTGAGGTTTTCCTATGGACCCTCGTGACCCACCATTCTGTTCGTCTTTTAGGCGCTACGTAATCACATTCCTCCAAAACCCATTCGGTCAGTTAACTATTGGAGAACTGTGTACCAGACCCCATTCACTTCGTTTTGGTTCCCTAATTCTTTATTGGCAGTCTAACCTCGGCCGTCATCACCCCGCAATTTTAGTGGTAAAGGTCTTGTCAAACCAACTTAACGCCAAGCTTCACTGACTCTTCGTTCCAAGATTACTCCAACTAGGCGCTAACTACAGTCTTCTATCTCTTCGAGTCGTGAAAACTGTCAGTTTGGTTGACACATTTATTCTCCTTTTGCACCACTTTCAACATACAAACAGGTTAATTATCGTACTGATGCTGCTAACAGAAACTGCGCGGACCAACTTTTTGTTTATCTTTGATACATTGGTTCTTTCATTCCTGCTTCCTGGCATCTCTCAGTCGCTAGCAGGCTCTTCACTATCTACATACCCGATTGGTTATACTTAAACTGCACGACTCGCACTACCATCTCATCTGACGGCTGTGGCTGATTCTTATATGGCGTCCACCTTGTAATCCATCGATCACCGCTTCGAATGTACCTGAGTGCGGGCGAATTCGCAGCATCTCTAACTCGCGTGCGCCTGTTGGTAGTCGCTTGGCCACAAAGAGTTGGTACGGCGTACAGCTGTATTGTTGATGTTGCTTTGGATGTAGGCTTCGATGGGGTTTACTCATGCGCTATATACCAGCTGCATACGTACTATGTTCATGCCTAAATGAGTATCTGTTGGTTCTATGCAAAAATCGCTCCATCGCTGTTTGTTCATTTGTTCCCTACTTGCTTTTTATCGGCTTTTATTCTGACCTTCGTGAAGTGTTGGTCCCTCACCTGAATGGACGCTTGATTCCCAATCAAAACCCGAAGTCGCTGCCCCCCCCCCACAGGACAGAGAGAAGACCGGATCGGACTAGCAGAGCAACAGGGTTGTATTAACGGATCACATCGTTCATTATAAAGGTGAAATGGAAAGTTCGTGAATGTTATTTACTTCGCACGTGGAAAGTTCTGGAAGGGTCAACTTACAGCAAATCAAGGAACGCCGCCCTCGCGTTAACTGGCCGCTTTTTCCGGTTGGCTCTCTGTTCGTCCCAATCAGGGCGGGTGAGTTTGGATTGCCTTCCGCGGCGATGGGGTCCTGGTTTGTTCGCACCGCGTATTTCTTCCTAACACTTCCCTCCTTTGAGTTGTGTTCTACGATTTCAGCTTGGGGTTGACTTCCATGGTGACACGAATTTGCGTCGCCGCTTCGGCCTCTGTGCTGCTAGGTTTCGGGACGAAT